GGGCTCGGGGTTGCGGGGGCGGGGGCCGGGGGCACACGGAGACCTTCCTGCAGACACATCACTCGGGGTTTTTAGGACACCAGGCTAAAAGCCGTGCTCCGTGTGCACCGACCCACCAGAGCCGAGTGCTGGCCGAGTCGCGGAGCAGACGGCAGCTGCCGGCGCGGTGCAGGGAGGGCTCTTCCTTCCCCCCCGCAGTAAATCGGGAATTCCCAGGGAAGAGGTGGCCAGTGCAGGTGTTTGTGTTGCAGCAACTGTGAAGTGCTGACCACGCTCACTCCAGACACGGGCCGGATCCTCTCCAAGCTGCACACGGTGCAACCCAAAGGGAAAATCACCTTCTGCACAGGGATCAGAGTCGCTCACGTAAGTGGCCGGGGGGGTTCCTCGCGGGCGAGCCGGCACCTTTCTCTGGAATTCCGTGGCGTGTCTCTCGAGTTACCTGCCCTGTTGGTGGCTCAGATAGGGAAGATCTTCTCTCCCTGCCTCTGCGTTTGAACAACACTGAGCAAATCGTTTCGGTTTTGCCTCAGTTTCCCCACCTGCGAAATGCAGATGAAACCTCATTATAAAATCCAGTATAAAAACTCAGTTTTACAGTCTGGTCCTGGTTTGCTTCGGAGGAACCTGGCAGATGCCTCACAGAAGCCCGGCGGAGCTGCACACCCCTGCGGAGCACAGCCTCCAGCCGGGATTGTCCTCCAGGGCATGGCCACCCTTTTGTCCCGTTCTCTTGCTCTGTCCCACACTGTCCCTCTGCCAACAAACTGGTCCCAGCTGAGTCATGCCGGCCAGCCAAGGGGAGGCCCTTGAGACACGCCGCCTGCAGACAGTTCGGTGAAACCTGCTGCCAAAAAGTCTCCTGGCATTTAGCCTAAACTTCCCCACGTAGCAGAAGAAGTACCGGGGGTGGGTGCTGCCACCCCTTTTTCCCGGGAATCGCCCCTGAGGTGCGGTGTGACTTCTGTCTCGCAGCTGGCGTTGAAGCATCGCCAAGGCAAGAACCACAAGATGCGGATCATCGCCTTCGTCGGGAGCCCCGTGGAAGACAACGAGAAAGACGTGAGTCATGGCCGGTCACAAGGAACCGCGTTGGGTCTGCTCCGCGCTCTGCCTCGCGCCGTAAATCCGGTTTGTCGTGGGTCCCCTGCCCTGTGTTGGAAGCAAGGTGTGGTACCCGGCGAGGTGTGGTACCCGGCGAGGTGTGGTACCCAGCGAGGTGGCCGCTCGGTTCTCAGCTGGGAGGAGAGGGAAGGTGGGATCTGGGCACAGCCAGGGACGGCGATCCACGTGGGATTGCTCCAGAGGGATCCTGTGCCCTGTCCTGTGCCTCCGGGCGTGTGGCCGTCACCTAAACCACGTCAGGCGTTTGGCCTGAGGAGCTGGGGGAGGAAATCCGTGTCCCGGAGCAGAAACGATGCTCTCAGCCTTGGGAAGATGCTGTTCCGTTGGCACTTGGTATAACACGAGTGAAGTTAATCCAGATGTTCTGGGTCTCTTGGAAAGAACGGGTCAGAAACGACCATTTTCAGGGTCAGGAGATGCCACCTGTGCCAGGCTCTGGCTGGTTTGGCCTGAGGAGCTGGGGGAGGAAATCCGTGTCCCGGAGCAGAAACGATGCTCTCAGCCTTGGGAAGATGCTGTTCCGTTGGCACTTGGTATAACACGAGTGAAGTTAATCCAGATGTTCTGGGTCTCTTGGAAAGAACGGGTCAGAAACGACCATTTTCAGGGTCAGGAGATGCCACCTGTGCCAGGCTCTGGCTGCCCCCGGCGGTGGGGACAGTTACGTGCTGGCAGGAGCACCTTGGGCACTGTGCCGTAGTGCCCGTCCCACCTCGAGAGCTGAAATTCCTCAGACGTTTTCCTGCTTGGGAGGGCTGGAAACTGGGCAACTGATTTTGGGCTTCGTGCCTTCAGGACTGGATCCCAAGCGCTGCTGTCTGGTTTGGGATGAGCTGGGAGCGGGTAAGAGCTGGAATCCAGGCTAATGCCGCGGTGTCTCCTCGTTGCAGCTGGTGAAACTGGCAAAGCGTCTGAAGAAAGAGAAGGTCAACGTTGATATCATCAATTTTGGAGAAGAGGTGAGACTTCTGCCCCGTGCCTGGCGTAAGATCCAAGCTGGAATTTTGTATCCATTCCGGCCCGGAGCCCTGACTGGGGCCCCTGAGGACACAAACAGCTCTCTGAGCTCCACCAGCTGTCCCAGTATAGCGCTGCTGCGGAGAGTGAAACCTCCCGTTTCACCGCGGGCGCTGTTAAACGCTTTCCGTCCTGATGGAATCGCGGAGCTCTCGGCTCCCGCGTCCTGCGGAAGG